GAAAAGAAAAAATCAACTTCCATTTTTTGTCACGTAACGACCCTCTCTTTAAATGCTTATATTTCAGGACCAAGCAGTTCGATTGATTTCATTTTTCGGTTAAATATAGAGCTAATTATTTGCTATACAATGACCAAAAAAAGTTAAAGAAAACAAATGGTATTCCTTTTGTGTATCACATTGAAATCGTACGACTGTCACGTGCGCCACCATGGGAATGCCCATATACAAAGTCTAATCAGCACCCGGATTCCAACATTCGCTATCGCTAAAACTCCAACGCCAAAAAGTGCTAAATGAATTTTAGCAATTTTCAGCGGTTTTCGCGATTCTCTCATAAAAATGCAACTCTAAAAATCGCCATTTTTGGTTCATTTTTTGACAAATTTTAGCGATGAACAAAATGAACCCGGATAAAGTGAGTGAACTTTTTGTAGGTGTTTTATGAAGACCTCTCCTCAAGGCATATCTGCCATACATGTAGACAGTAATTTATTTTTTAATGTACGAATTTTGATAATGCCATAATTAATGGGTAGATGAAATCATTTATGTACATATGAACATACTTATTTTATTATGTAGCTCATTTAAAGGGGGAGGGGGTTGAATATGGTAAGCAAATAACTTGTGTCAAAACCAAGCTAACTGAACAATGTTTTCACATTTTATTTACTGACTTTACAGTTTTTTTAACGGTTGGCATCATTTTACATTAAAATAGAGCAATATTTTAACTGCTATTAATTTCGGACATAATGTGCAGTGGTCAAAAAATTATAGCCGAGCCACTTTTTTCCAAGTTTTAACGTATTATTTTTGTTGTCATTGAACTTTTGTTATTTTTTTTTATAAAAAATATAGTTCATTCTTTAACAAAGCCCGTGTAAATCCAAGTTTCCAAATTTGTGCAATATTAAAAAAAATTCAACAAATTTTCGAAAACAAAATCAATCGAAATCTTTAGTCATTTGAAACTCATACTTTATTCTACTGGAATTCAATGCGCCACAAAACTGCATACTCAGAATTTAATTAAAAAACTCGAAATTTTAACGAAAATTTGTTGAATTCTTTTTTGAATTGCATAAATTTTTAAGGCAGTGTCACTCGATTGGTACATTTGTACAGATTTGTACATTTTTATATTGGGATATTGGTAAAAACAAATGGGACAATTTTGGTTTTTGTAGTCAAAAGATTGGTACAATACAGCGATGTTCTATTGAAAAATTTCAACAAATTAATTATCGTGATTGGGATAAAGAAAAATATTTTGGGTGTTCACACAATTGGGATACGATTTGCACCAAATTTTGGAAAATACCCAATCGTGTGACACTGCCTTTAAACTTGTATTTATATATGGATGTTTTTAAAGAATGAACTATAAAAAAATAACCCAAATTAAATAACAGCAAATATAATATTTTAAAACTTGTGAAAATTTGGTGCGGCTATAATTTTCTCGACTACTGTACATAAGTTGACTATGATTATTCGGCCGTGCTATCATAGTAGCACAATGCCACAAAGTGCATTTTAAAATTTTCAGGCAATAGCCCCATGCGATTATTGGTTATATTTTTTGTTGTTTGTATGAAATATTTAATTTTTATCAGTATTTTTCTTTTAACCAAAATATGTTGAAATAAAAGTGAAATTAAAAACAAATTTTGCCAGAAGCGCCGCCCCCTGAAAAAAAATCCTGGCTACGGCCCTGGTTGCCGTGGTTAGTGATGTGCTGAGTTGCCGGTACCCAATACTTCAGAAAGATTTCGGTATCCAATACTTCCTTTTCGGTACCCAATACCGATTCTATACATAATTGCAGCTTTTTGACATAATTTTCAACAGAATATCTGTAAAAAAGTTGCATCGACCATATTTCGACTATGAATATGCTTCTCAATTAGTACGTGTAAGACGATGCTTTCCCAAAAATTGAACAATTTGTAACGGGTGATTTTTTTGAGGTTAGGATTTTCATGCATTAGTATTTGACAGATCACGTGGGATTTCAGACATGGTGTCAAAGAGAAAGATGCTCAGTATGCTTTGACATTTCATCATGAATAGACTTACTAACGAGCAACGCTTGCAAATCATTGAATTTTATTACCAAAATCAGTGTTCGGTTCGAAATGTGTTGAATGTGTGAAAAGTTGGCAGAAAATCCGCTTTTTTATCGACAAATTTTGTTCAGCGATGAGGCTCATTTCTGGTTGAATGGCTTCGTAAATAAGCAAAATTGCCGCATTTGGAGTGAAGAGCAACCAGAAGCCGTTCAAGAACTGCCCATGCATCCCGAAAAATGCACTGTTTGGTGTGGTTTGTACGCTGGTGGAATCATTGGACCGTATTTTTTCAAAGATGCTGTTGGACGCAACGTTACGGTGAATGGCGATCGCTATCGTTCGATGCTAACAAACTTTTTGTTGCCAAAAATGGAAGAACTGAACTTGGTTGACATGTGGTTTCAACAAGATGGCGCTACATGCCACACAGCTCGCGATTCTATGGCCATTTTGAGGGAAAACTTCGGAGAACAATTCATCTCAAGAAATGGACCGGTAAGTTGGCCACCAAGATCATGCGATTTGACGCCTTTAGACTATTTTTTGTGGGGCTACGTCAAGTCTAAAGTCTACAGAAATAAGCCAGCAACTATTCCAGCTTTGGAAGACAACATTTCCGAAGAAATTCGGGCTATTCCGGCCGAAATGCTCGAAAAAGTTGCCCAAAATTGGACTTTCCGAATGGACCACCTAAGACGCAGCCGCGGTCAACATTTAAATGAAATTATCTTCAAAAAGTAAATGTCATGGACCAATCTAACGTTTCAAATAAAGAACCGATGAGATTTTGCAAATTTTATGCGTTTTTTTT